TCGCAAATCTTAAAAAAAAACAAAAAAAAAAAACGAGCGTTGCAACCCGCACCCCTCCACAAGAAGATCGGGGGTTGTGGCGATGCTCTCAGTCGGGGTCTTCTAGACCGAAAACGGATCTGCGGACTGTTATTTTGTCTAAGAGGACCTCGGCTAAATGGTCCTACCATTGTCAGGTCCCTGAGGGCAGCCCACCTGGGGAGGAAAGGATAACACCTCAGTATACGGTGCCCAATCCTCCTCGGTGCCCTCACGGATGTTCATTGATACCCCACCCTCGGTGCTTCAGGGCTCAGTGCATCCCTCCAGGCGCTACTTCATCGAAGCTGGTTTGCGCTCTGCCGGATGCGCTTTTATACTTTCTGGTGCTTACGTCACCCCGCTCGTGACGTCTCGCTACTCCATTGGACTGATTTGACACGTGCTTCAGAACGCGGTCACGCAGGGGCGTTCCCAAAGCGATTTCGACGCAACGTCTCGTTCCCTCGGGGAACCATGGTTACATACATAACCTAGAGACGTTATTAAACTAGGTTGGCTGCCCTCATTTTAAAGAATCCCTGCTGGAAATTTGATTATTTGTAAGTGTAAGTAAATTATTAATAACTTTAATAACATTACAGTAACATTATGATTAGAAATAAAATGTACAAATTAATTTACACAACAATTTCACAGTGGATTACACAGTGGGAAAGTCATTCTTGTCGAACCAATTCAATTCAAATGAACTTATGACATTATTATTATCACAGCTGAAAACAGTTATGTTGCAAAAGAACAGCATTTATTTGAATTTTTTGTAACATAAAATTGTTTGTCTTTACTATCACTTTTGATAAATGTAATGCATCCTTGCTGAATAAAAGTATTAATTCCTTTAAAAAAGCATACTGACAACAAACTGTTGAACAGTAGTGCATATTAGGAGTGAACATTCTGATTATATTTAATGTTTACATAAAAATAAACATATTCCAACAGCAGATCATTATTCATTACCCTCGCTAATTGAATTACTGAAATTAACTTTTCCACGACATTCTAATTTATTGAGATGCACCTGTACACTGTAAAAAAAAAAAAAAAATCCATAAAAATAGGGCACAATGTACTGTATTAATATGAAGGAATTTCATTACAGGTGTTTTTCCTTTATTTAGAATTTTGAAATTCATTGCGTTGTGTTTTAGCGTTAATGGAAATGTCCATACAATTACTGGATAATGTCCTGGCAGAAAATTACCAGTACATTTTCCTTTTTTTTTTCTCCAGTGTACTTGGAATGAACAGTCCTACTTGAGAACTCTAGATGCTTCCATTGTATTGTATTCTTCCCTGTTGTAAATTCCATAAAGGTTTGGGGGCAAAATCATCCATGAGAAAAAGTGATGGGGACATGTCCCCTCCGCAAATGACAGCTAAATGTGGACTACTGTAAATGTGCTACTCCTCGCTCTAAATGCTTCATTAATTCCTGTCGTTCAAAGGACACACAAAAGGGAAAGTGAAAAAAGGTAGCATCTCCCACAGCGTGAGGAGACAGGGGCCTCACCCCAGGAAAACACGCCCCGGACACTTCCATTAGCTTGATGATGTGGGAGGGTAATTTTTTTGTCCTCGTCAAGGTTAGGGACCTGTAAAAATGAATTTCATTCACTCAAAGAGAATAGGGAAAAAATACAGGTGAGTTTTATTGAGGAAGGAAAAATATACAGTAGAAAGCACAATTCCTTTCTCTGTGAAGAGGCAGACATGTTTCTGAGAGCTTGTTTATTCATTTAAGAAATGATACATTTCACTAGAGTAATTACCACAACATGGGGTAATTAGGGAGGTGGATTGGTGTCTTGGCAGCAGTCAACCGAAACAACAGACTGCCATGCGTGTTACGGGCCTGCCAAAAGGAGGACGTCATGTTGGTGTGCTTTCTGTTACAAGAGGGGAAATGAAAGCTGTTCCTCTGGCACGTGTTTATGTTGCATATCTAATGAGCTCATTGTGGGAAGTTGCTGAAAATAAATGAATAGCACACATTAGACATAATGTGGACCTGATGTGTTCACACCTGTTTTACGATCTAGATTCATGTTCCAGATTGTGGATTTTGAGCTTTTTGAAAGTCTTCTTGTTCTTTCTTCTAGAGAGGATTATTCGACATGGCCCAGTGTTCACCCAAGAGCCCAGTGACAGTGTTTTCCCTTTAAGCGCAGAGGACAACAAGATATTTATTAACTGCAAAGCCAAGGGAAGTCCAGCACCACATTACAAGTATGACTATTTTCCTCAAATGAAAATATAGTTTGTTTTTTTGTTTTGTGCCTGGAATGTATGCCTGGAATTAAACAAAAGTGTAAGAATTAAAAAAAAAAAAGTTGGAATGAAATATGAAATTTGAAAATCATATTTTGAAGATTCTGCATTTGTGACAAATTGACATTGACGAAACATTTTGTCACTAGTGTCAGCCTTTTGAACAGTGTTATTTTAATATTATTAATGTACTATTATAGTATTTATAAAAAATTTGAGGGTTTTTTATTTTAATTTTAGTTATTTTGTTGTTATTTACTTAGTTAGTTAGTTAGTTAGTTAGGTTTTTATAAATTTTGAATTCAGTTTTAGTTTTAGTAATTTTAATACTTTGTATTTCAGATATTTGCCAAGGCTACCAACTTGGCCAACTAATTTTATTCTTCTTTTAGTTTTTTCTTTTTAAGGTTTTTATCTACAAATTTTATTTTATTTAAGTTCTATTTAAAATTTTTTGTTTTAGTTTTTTTTTAGTGATAACATTGCTGCTTTTGGATTCATTGTATACTGTATTTTATTCTTGATGTAAATAATGTATTCGAATTACACAGAAAATATTTGTTTTTAATTCTTAAACTTCTTATCATCATTATCCCATGCTCACTCCACCTGTTTCATATTTAGGTGGAAATTCAACAGGACAGATCTTGATATTGACATGGACTACAGCCTTGTTGAGGGAAACCTTTTGATCAATAACCCTCAGGCAACTAAACACGGTGGTGTTTACCAGTGTATCGCCACTAATGCATTTGGAACCATCCTGAGCCGAGAGGCTAAAGTGGAGTTTGCATGTAAGTGCAAATTAAACTGTATGCTTTGTATTTGTGAACATTTGAAAATAGCACCTGACAGTCTCTTCTGCACTTGATTACTATTACTTTGACTATACTGTCTTTATATATGCATCCTTTGGAAGCTTAAATGCATAATATGTAAAATGTGCACTATGTTATCTTTCATATGGTCCATTAGTGGTTAAGATATACTTTCTTCCCTAGATGTAGCAGGCTTTTAAACTGACAACTATATTTTCCTATCTGGAAAATTCCATCAGGAGATGTCCAATGGTGCTATCTAAAATGCAGCCTGTCGTGAAAAAAAAAAAAAAAAAGTCTTAAATCAAAAGATAATCATAATAACACTGCCTCGTTCATATTGTGTGTACATATGAAAGAAAAAAAAAAACATTGTTCATTCGAAATTTCACATGTAGATGTGTCTTTTCAGGTCTTGAGTGATGCAGGAAATTGTTGTAGGACTAATTGGTGGTGCATTTACAGAGTGGGAAGAAGCATTTTCCCAATGATTTACCTCCTCACATAGCCATCAGTTCTGAAGTTTTGAAGAATACATTTTTATTTCTTGATTTATAATGAGGAAAGCTTTTCATTATGTTTTTATTTAGTTTTATGATTTTTGTCTTTTTCCTGTTTATGCATTTAGCAAACACTTATCCAAAGCATCTCATATTGCATACAAGATATACAGGGAATTGAAGCCTTTACCAAGCATGTTGTACTTTGCTGTTAGTCATATTTTATGACCACATATTTTATTGTTCAAGGGCACATTTTACCTTGGTCTGATCTCTAGAATATAGATCTGACAATATGTAATTATGTAATTAACACAGTTACCCTGACAACCATATATATATGTTTTTTTTTTTTTTTTATGTGATTGTGAAAGTTTTGTCAGCGTTTTGTCCATGTGATAAAGTCTTGTAATTGTGAGTGAACCTGCTTTAACGCAAGACAAATTTCAGACCTTGTCTGACAATAAAGTTGTATCGTATTGTATCGTATCGTATACCTAAGTGGCATTTCATACAGCTAAGTGTTTTTTTTTTTTTTTTTTACCCCACTTGCAAATTCTCACTAAATTTTTATATTTTGTGCAGTGTGTCTTTTATTTACACAGAACACAACTCATTTCACACAGGCATACATTCATGAGGCTGGATAGCTGATATTTGAATAAACACCACAACTTTAGCCCAGTCTGGGATGTCATTTTTGCCTGTCCCTTCCTGGGCTGTAGAGTGGCATTTCTAAAGGTCCCTGCTCTGTGAGTCGTCTGTTGCACATCAGAGCGATGACAGTGCCTTTAATGAAAAGTAAAGCCGATCCTATTATTTTGTTTTCGCAGACCTGCAGAATTTCAGCAGCAAGGCCAGAAGTCCAGTATTAGTGAGAGAAGGACAGGCTGTTGTGCTCCTGTGTGGTCCGCCGCCCCACTTTGGAGGTACATTTTATTGTATTCTGTATGAATTTGAATGTTATTTATTACGTGCATTAGGATTTTTTTTTTACAAACAAATTCACAAGCCGCTATTCTTTAAAGTTATCAATACCTTTCCACTTTACTTCGTATGAATCATAAAAAGCAAGAGTGACAATTGTTCGCAAAATCTGTTGACCTCTTTCCGCAGCACATTTAAAAAAAATCAATTTAAGCTTTGTGTATAGCCTGTGGAATAATGCTAAGCAACTCCAAGGTCAGGAATTCTCTTCAAGTGGCAAACCTATCTCTCCACTCTGCTCACTTAGTATGTATAGTACATGCTGGTTCAGAATGTATCTTAATCATCTCAAATTGTGAGCAAATCAAGCTTTCAAATGACTGGAGCACAATGGCTCACATTCTTGCATTCATGCACCAACCTCTTGGCATTTAGCTTCCCCTCCTCCTTCTTAATGGCACTTGTGCCCTTGTGGTCATTTGGAAAGGTTATTTTCTTAAGCCATGGCCTTCTGTTGGAAGGTAATAATGGCATGTGGTGGTTGTTTTAAAGCGACATGCCTCTTTATCCCCCGGTCCAGCTGTGCACCTCTCCTGTGTCTGTGTACAGCTGATTAGCAGCCTCTCAAAGAGCCATGCACAGATGTGCCAGAGGTGCAATTTCATGCCACCGCACCGCCGTTCTGTCATTCCGCCACATTTCCAGTCAAATCAATGGTCTTAAGTGACCCACAACTTCCCCGCTCCCCGCAGCCACCCTCCACCATATTTTCTATTTTCCATCCCTCCTTCTCCCATCACACCACCCTTGACTCTTTGCCACACTCTGTAATCCGAGGCTCTTTCATATGTATAATGCTTCATGGGAATTAATACAATGGCTAGATACCGCAGATCAGTCCTTGAAGGGTTTTTTTTTTTTTTCCCCAGGGGTAAAACCATGGAGGTCTATATAATACCTGGGAAGAGATGTGTGCAGTTTGAAATCTGACATTTTCCTTGTGGGAATCACCTTTTTTCCCCACTCTGGTGCAACTAAGATTATGCTGCCTTGCATTTTTATTTTGTCATAATTATATATATTTTATGGATAAATATAATAAAAGTTTTTGTTTACATATATATATATATATATATATATGCGTGTGTGTGTGTGTATATAGTGTACATTAGTAAATATATAGTGTGTGAATATTTAGTGTGTGTATACACACATACACACGCACACACACACACACCCCCTCACAGGAAACTTTGTGCTATTTCAGATTTTCAATACACTCCATTCTGTATGATTTATAAGCGTTTTGAAAAATGGGGACATGGGGTAATTTCTATAATATATATATTACCGTTCAAATGTTTAGAGTCAAAAATATTATATTATGCTCACAGAGGCTGCATTAATTTGATCTAAAAAGAGCAAAACTGTAATATTGTGAAATATTATTACAATTTAAAATGATTTAAAATAACTAATAGTTTTCTATTGTAATACATTCTAAAATGTACTTACTTTTTTAGAATTCTTTGAGTAACAGAAAATGAAAAAAAAACAGCAGTTATTTAAAATATATAATAAAAATATAAAAATATTTTGTAACTAATAATTAATAATAATTAATTAATTAAAGTATTGTTTCTTATTTCTTTCTTTGTCAAAAAAAAAAATACATAAAAAAATTACTGACCCCTAAAATTTAATGTGTGTGTATATACTGAATAAGAGGTAATTTTGGTTGATTCTTACTTTAGTATTATTTTGATGTTAAATTACTGTTGGTTGTTTTCTAGACAAGTTGGAGCACTGAACTGAACCTTGTGAATTTTAGAGACAGCTCTCCGTTACTGCACAGTAACTGCTACCTAAAGTAAAAATCACCTCTTTTTACTCATAAATAGCCGTGTTCATTGGTCTACTCTGTCACATGGTTTCAGATTATAGTGGCTGTGAATGTGTTTCCTATGAGACCAAAAGCCTTGAGCACAGTGCCCAGTAATGACGAGAGGTCCCTCACCTTGTCACCACTCCATTTATGATGGTTTTAATTCACCTTTTTCTGTCTTGAAGCCAAATGGTTATTTTTCCTCGGTGCTGTACACTCTTAGATATGCTGTTTGAACCTTAAATAGCCCTTATCAATCCACTTTTCAGCCACTCTAACCCCCTTTCTGCCCTCTAATAAACGCTGCTTAATTTGATACTTTCATACTTCATTTCATACCACAGGCATTGCTGTGCAGGCTTCCTGTATTCCTGTCTCATTAAGAAAGAGTGAGAGGTGACATGAACGAATAGAAATAGAAGAAAAATGATGACGACTATTACAAAATGAGCTTATATCACAAAAAGACTGTTAAAAGCAAAATAATTAAATCGAAAACCCATTCATTTGCTTTGTGTTGATAATAAAACAAATTTGCTGTACATATATTATTCTAATTACAATAAGCACAAACTTTGACTTTCATTCTTTATTTATTAATGTAGATGATTTGATTTCACTATTTATTTTTATAAAGATGTCACAAACCAAAGCGTTGGACATTTTGTGGTGGAAAATTTAAAGTTGTCTTAATTGTTTTGACAGTATAAGGGTTATTTTAGAGAAATATGCCATATGCCAGCATAATACAAATGCGCATATTTTGCCTTTATGAAAATAAATAGGGTGTAGTTTGTCAAAATGAATGATTTAATTATTTATTTTGTCTTAAAACTTGTTCTCAAACTGTTTCTATAGCATCAGAATGCTTTTCATACACAGACTCATTTGTAATATTTCTGTCACACTTTATGATCTTACATTGTAATGTTGTGTTTATTTGTAATCATGAAGAGTAAATGCAGATTTTGTCAAGTTGTTTGCAGAGCCAGAATATGCCTTTTTTATGGAACAATATTAGTTTTCAGCTCCTGTTGCTTGTATTGTTTTAACCTTGTTATATATAAACTCCTTTCCCACAGCTGAGCTCTAACAAGCTGAGAACATACGCATCTAAATTTCATCCACAAATTTAATAAAAAAAATAAAAAATAAAAAAAGATTTTAAAACAGTTTTCAAATGTTCTATTTCATAATGCATCAAGCTATACACTTAGTAGGGCATGTTGACTATATATCTGAGTTGGCAAAAAATTGACTGTCATCTGACAATTTTCTCCTCAGAAATCAGATACTCCTGGATATTCAATGGCCGCCCCAGCATTGTTGTTGGGGACAACCGACGATTTGTGTCCCAGAGGACTGGAAACTTGTATATTGCAAAAGTTGAGACATCAGACGTGGGCAACTACACATGTGTGGTAAGGAATGTGATGACCAATACAACCGTCTACAGTTCCCCAACTCCAGTGGTGTTACGTCGGGACGGTGAGTAGCCTGGAGGAACTGCTAACAGTGATGAATCAGTAGATTTGAGCATGACGGTGTTTGCTTTGCTGCCACTCAGAGACATAGCATTGTGTATTCATAGTCTCTGAGCCGTGCTCAGCCAGAGAGAGAGAGAGAGAGAGAGAGAGAGAAGGAGAAAAGATTCTGCATTAAGAAAGAAGACTTCAACCCTCACACACACACACACACATATAACCTGGGAGGCTCAACATCACCAGTCATTAGTGTCTGTTTAATATTCACACAGACAAGGTATATGAAGTAAGGCGGAGAGGTTTTGAATATCTTGAGTTAATGTGAATATTGAATATTTTTATCTATGAATATTTTGGGCACTGCTGTACTACTTTACTAATTCGTATTTCTTACTTTTTCTTGCGTTTGATCTACATTCCCTGCTGAAAAGACCATTTTAGGCCAGCATAAATTTACATGATTTTCTAGTTGGTGCAGGTTGATCAGCATAGCCAAAACCATCATGATCTTTTTGTTTTTTTTTCTTTTCATTATAATTTGTAACGTTTTTTTTTTCTTTTCATTATAATTTGTAAATTTTTTATTATATGTTTATATATATTTTTTTTTAAGAATTCACAACTTACCTAATGTAAGCACTGTTTTCATGTTATGTTATGTCATGTTATGTTATGTTATGCTATATGTTTTATATTTTTGATACATGTTTAAATTAATGTTTTTCATAATGAATTTTTTTATACAAGTTTGGTCTGTTAAAGTGTTGTATTATTATTTTTGACATTGCCATTAAATAACATGTATTGTTGTGCACTGAAATTATTTTTTTTAAATATATGTGACCCTGGACCACAAAACCAGTCATAAGGGTAAATTTTTCGAAATTGAGATTTATACATCATATGAAAGCTGGAATAAGCTTTCCATTAATGTATGGTTTGTTAGGATAGGACAATATTTGGCTGAGATACAACTATTTGAAAATCTGAGGGTGCAAAAAAAATCAAAATATTGAGAAAATCGCCTTTAAAGTTGTCCAAATGAAGTTCTTAGCCATGCATATTACTAATCAAAAATTAAGTTTTAATATATTTACAGTAGGAAATTTACAAAATATATTCATGGAACATGATATTTACTTAATATCCTAATGATTTTTTGGCATAAAAGAAAAATCTATAATTTTGACCCATACAATGTATTTTTGGCTATTGCTACAAATATACCCCAGCGACTTATGACCAGTGGTCCAGGGTCACATATAGGATATTATTAAAATTTTTCAGAAATATAAAGTTGTCGGTTAAATTTTTCTTTTCTAGTTTTACTTGTTTACTAAATATAAAAGTATAATTATGAGTCAAATGAACTGAAATGAATAAAAATGACATGACAAAATATTGTCAAAAGACTATGACTGAAAAAAAAAATCAATTTGAAAAATGAATAGCGTTGTTAACCTAGTTAAAAACCTAGTGGGAACACAAGCATCCAGAACATTACATATGCTGGTGACCAGCCATTGTCTTTTCAGCAAGGTTTCTTGGCAAGCTGCATGTGTTGTGAACTTGTTTATATGCCTTGTTTGCACATAAAGTGATGTATATATATACTGTGAATAGTATAATAATTTCTGAATTGAAGCACATTGGTTTTACCCTAAAAGACTTATGCTTGTCTATCCTCATTTTTCAGCTGTGATGGGGGAATATGAGCCAAAGATTGAAGTCCAGTTTGAAAAAATGCTCCACGTTGCCAAAGGATCATCGGTTCGACTGGAGTGTTTCGCTTTAGGAAAGTAGGTCTCTACTTTACTAACAGATGGACTCCTTGCCTCCAGAGGGTTGCGTTGCTAACTGGGGATTGCCACACTTGGCACATAGTACATCTTAGCAGTTTATTTAAGAGAAATGTCTCAGAAATATACAGGATCCTTTAATCTTAGTGAAGTACTAGGAAACAGATGGAGAGGGGAAGGCATTATTTTTTAAAACAGCTGTAGACTGTGATCTAGGTGTGGGACAGGGTTCTGGCCTTGGATTGTCCACAGGTAATGTGTTAAGGGATGCTGGGATACTGGAGGGCTATCAAACACAAAACAGATAGGCTGTCAGACCATTTATTTTTTTTATTTTAGTTATTACTTAGTTATTTATGAATTTAATAAAGCTACCATTCAAGTGTTTGGGGTCGGCAAGATTTTTTTATGTTATTGAAAGTATCTTATGCTCACTAAAGGTGCATTTGTTTGATTAAAATACTTTAAAATGGTAATATTATGAAAAATTATTACAATTAAAAATAACTATTTTCTATTTGAATATATTTTAAAATGTATTCCTGTGATGGTAAAGCTGAGTTTTCAGCAGCCATTACTCCAGTGATCCTTCAGAAATCATTTTGTGATTTGGTGCATAAGCAACATTTCTTCTTATTATCAATGTTGAAAACAGATGTGCGATTTAATACTTTTATGGAAACAGCATTTATTTGAATTAGAAATCTTTTGTAACAATATAAATGTCTTTAGTGTCACTTTTAATCAATTAATTAATGCGTCCTTGGTAAATAAAAGTATTAATTTATTTATTTTTCTTTCAAAAAAAAAAAATCTTACTAAACCAAAACATTTGAATGGTAGTGTATTTAAATATTCATTTAATTAATGGCTCAAAAAAACTTAAATTACCCTAAATGTTTAATAAACATCAAACATACATGCAAGCGACTGGAGAATACGTCAAACTTGAATTGTAATTGTGCAGAAATGGATTGAGTAACATGTTGACTAACTAGTAACATGATCTGCTTTGATGAATCATGTTAAGCCTCCATATATCATCTTTGCACAGTGTGATGCTAATATGGTCTCTTTTCTTGACTTTTCTCAGTCCAGTGCCTTCTATTTCCTGGAAGAGAGCGGACGGAAGCCCCTTCCCAGGAAAAATGAAGATAAATCACTCAAATGGTGTCCTAGAGATCCCATATTTCCGTCCAGAGGATTCTGGACTTTATGAATGTGTGGCCGAAAACTCCAAAGGACATAGTATTGCTAAAGGTCGTCTTGTATTTCAAAGTAAGGTCCAATACTGACTTAAGTGTACATAGCCAATGGTCAAAATACTGACTGGATGATAATTAGCCCTTTTTGGAAATATTTAGACAGCTGTGTCCAAAAAACTGTATGCAGAGTATTTTTCACAGTGTTAAAAGATCTTTCTTTATCTCTCCTACCCATGCAGTGTTTTACCGGCCATCACGATTACCGCAGGAGAATCAATAAGAGAAATTTAAATTTTTAATGAGTCAGATAACAAATCACATAGCAACCTGTGGTAAATAATAAATAATGAAAGAATAGATTTTATTGTCAATTGTCAAGGCAAGACTAATTAGAATGGCTATAGCAGGCGTTGTTTAGTCTGCCCAGAGAGCCCACAATATATGCACTGCTACTGTGCTCTTCTACAAGATAGGAAGAATCATCTCGAATGAATGTGCACAGAGTAACCTCATTTTTTGGTAGTTTATAAAACACAATGCTTTCATCATTGTTGCAATGCATTTCAAGAGAGAAAGTTCAGAGAGTCAGACGTAGGATGCAGACCTCTGCATTTGTATTATAGTAGTTCATTGCTGTTCACACAGATGTGGAACACCTGCAGTGGTCGCAGACTCTGTATGACGCAAACATGGCTATTGAGTCTGATCTTCACTGGGAGTGCAAGGCTAATGGAAAACCTCAACCTGTTTACCGATGGCTCAAGAATGGACAGCCTTTGGTCTCTCAGGTGATAATACTAACTGCCAGAATAACACCCCTCAGCCCATTTTACTAAGTACTAAGGCTTAAAATATGCTGATTGTGTGTTAGAGTGTACATGTTGAAATGTTTGTATGTTTAAATATTATATGTCTAGGTTATTAGTGGTGCTCGCAATCTGTCCTGACAGTTTTGTTTATGCTCAGGACAGAATTCGTGTTGATGGTGGCGGGTTAACCATCTCCAACATAAACCGGATGGATTCTGGGATGTATCAGTGTTTGGCAGAGAATGATAACGGAGTCATATATGCAAGTGCCGAGCTCAAAGTTGTGGGTAAGCATCTTTCCATGTTATCAAAGAACCAGTATTTCCACATGAAAATATCAAGGATTTTTAAAATTGTGATTTTCAGACCTGGAAAAGTCTTGGAAATTAATGGAATTTGGTACTGTATGAACATATGAAAAGTTATGTTCTGCTCTAAATTATATTTAATCAGCTTCATATATCTGAGAATACAAATGGAAAACCACCACAGAAATCTCAATAAAATAGGAATGATTAGTAGAAATGATTAGTGAAGAGTAGTAATGCGCAGAAATTTCATCAACCGATAATATTTGGCTGAAAATGAACCCGATCATCTCTTCTTTTTTACTACTAGTTAAAACATGAAATAAACAGAAGGTATGTTGAAATAAACAGTACAACTTATTGAAATATGTTATGTCTTATGTAATCACTCAATCAGTGTTTCAACCGTGGAAAGATGTCAATAACACAGCTTGTAAACATTACACTTACCTCAGGCAAGCCATTCAATTTCCATAACCTCGTAAGACAGTTAGAAAAAATAACACGTTTTGCTAAATACTGTATATGCAAAAATCCTTATATTTTACTTAAGCTGTGAGTGATATCTTCATTGTTTAATATATGTTTGAATAAAGCTATTATGAATTTTATTTTTTATTACAGGCACTGTTTAAATGTTTTTATGTTTCAACAATGAACTGGAGTAGAAACATAATTATATAATTAAAAAGTTGATATAAAAACCTTTGTGCTTTATGTGCAATTTAAATGTTTATATACAACTGTTTTTATTTGAGTGCTGATTATTAAATAAATGCAGTTAATTGATTATTAAACTTTATTTTCAATTTCGGTTTTTGGCTATATGAAAAATTTCATTTTGGTTTCATGTTTTGATTAAAAAAAATAATAATAATTTCAGTGCATCACTAAAAAGTCATGAAAATAAATTGGTTAGATGTGTGGGAACACTGGTATTCAGTATTTCTAATAGTGAAATATGTCAGCTAAAATCATATCTGAGCCAAACACCCTGAATCCCTTGTCTTTCAGCCTCTCCTCCAGACTTCTCAAAAAACCCAGTGAAGAAGACCACGCTGATCCAGAGAGGTGGGGAAGCTATCATCGAATGCCGGCCGCATGCGTCCCCCAGAGCTTCCTACTCTTGGAGGAGAGGCAACGAGTTCCTAAAAGACAGCAAGAGGTACGGGTCAGCGGACCGGTCACTAATGAAAGGTGTGAAATGAGCCGCTTGCACTCCTGTCGTCCCCTGAGCCTTTGGGTTTGTTTGCACTGCAGTAGTGCAGGGTTCTGGTGAAGAGTCTTAAGGCACGTTCACACAGGGCACTTTCTTGCATCCATCTGCATGGTTTTATGCCATAATATCCTTTTTCCAACAAGCAATGTGGATTATGTTTCCATTTATATAATTTATGTACTGATAAACACAGACATTGAAACCTCTCCTTTCCCCATGTTGGGTGGAATAGAGGGTATATCTACAGTGCACAAGCATTGTAGGAATTTTTTTTGTTTGTAGGTTACTTTTATTCAGCGTTAAAAGATATATAATACCATTCAAAAGTGTTGGGGCAGTAAGAGTTGAATTTAATATTGTGATGTTTTTTTTTTTTTTAACAATTTAAAATAACTGTTAAAAGCTGAATTTTCATCGATCTTCAAAAATCATTCTAACATGCTGATTTGGTACTCAGCAACATTTCTTCTTCTTGAAGTTTTAAAATCAAAGTCAAATTAATGCTGATAAATGAAAATAAATGTAAGTGCTTAAATGGAATCTAGTTGTGCTCAAAAATAATGCAAAATTAACGTTACTTCGCATAAAAAATAACAGTGTAACATTTTATAATGAGAATGCATTTTTCAACTTCCTGTTTCCTACTTTCTCTCCCTCACCGGTCATTATTTGCAAAGCATCATCCCACTACTGTGTGATGTTTTTCTATATTTTTATTCAAACATAATTGCCTTTTTTTTGTCCATACTGAACACAGTTGCTAAGCCACAGATGTTGCACATTCAAAACCAACAACATTCTTCCTGATGGCACTTTTCACACAAGAGTGAGTGCCTACTGGAACACTAATTAATACACCCCTGGTTCTGCCTCTCTCCTGTGGGGTTTCAATGGGACAGAATCGTTATAGCATGGCCATGTCAGAACAGGTGGCAGGAGGGACGTGTGTATGATCTCCAGTAATGGATGGGGATGGAGTGATAACCAATGGGAGCTCGCGCTGTGCACTGTGGTCCATCTGGACCTGAGAGAGAACACACATGCCATGACTCACTGATGCTGCCCAGGGTCTCCGTGGAGTGATGTGATTATTGGATGAGGGAGAGGGGGAGCGATGGAAAGGGGGAGCGGGAGAGGGAGTGGAAGTTAGAGCGAATGGAGGAAATGAGACAAGAGGTGCAAGACTGTATATCAGATACTGTCTATCAGAGGGTCAGGGTAAGCCTCGGAGTGTCTGAAATGGAGTACGAACTTACTCCTAACTCCATACTTCACGGTATGTACTGTATGCTGCATACTGTTGTTTTGTAGCATATGCAACAATATTGAATATTCAGGAAAGATTTCAGTAAACACAGTGAGTGCGTGTTTAATTCAGCAAGTGGCATCTTGTTATCATTTTTGGGAATTTTGTAGAAATGTTTTAGCATTTGACAGTCCACTCACATCTATCAGAAAAGAAATGGACAGTCAAGTCAAGAGCACTTGTGGGATACATTATTCCACATTGTGCATACTATTGTTTTAGAAATAGTAGCCTCTATGAAACAATATGCATAAATAAACAGTGCATGTTTAAGCAAGTGGCATCTAATTGTTCATTTGGAAATAGTTATTTGCAGTTATTTTCAGATTTTAAGTAGAAATATCTTAACGTTTGACAGTCCACTCAGATTTGTTGAAGGAAATGGGGGGTCAAGTCAAGCGCATACACTGTTGCACATTGTGCATACTGCATGCTATTGTTTTAGGAGTAGTAGCCTATATGAAACAATGTGCAGAATGCACAAGTAAAGAGTGCATGTTTAATTCAGCAAGTGGCATCTAGTTGTCATTTTTTTAAATAGTTATTTTGTTGTTAGATTCTCTCTATATACACTGCTAATTTTTTTACAAATAGTAGTCTATATATAATATAATGCGATATGCAACAATAAACATTTTCGTAAAGAGTCCATGTTTAATTCAGCAAGTGGCATCCACTAGTTTCATGTTATGTGAATAACGATGCTCAGAGCAGGCTGTACCAATGGTAAATATACGGCCCTCAGACATAACAGGCAGGTTGTCCATGAGTGGCAGAGCAGAATAAGGATGGAGCAAAGTGTGGATGCGCTGTCCTTGAAGGAGTTCAACTCAGTTTTGTTTATATTTTGCTTAGCCTATAATTTTAAATGACAGATGTGGTATTTATTTATTTTCTCTGCGACTTTCCTGTTTTAACAGAAAAATGTCAAACGAATTTAGTATTTCGACAAGACGAATAAAAATAGCTAATAGGCTATTTTTGTACAACCTACATTTTTTGTTTTTTTCCTCTGCCACACTTTTTCCGATTGTGTTGTAAATGTTAAACGAATTGTATCCTGATAAGACGAATAAAAATAAGAAATACGATTTTTGTACAACATTTGTATTTTCTCTTACACTTTTTTTCCTACTGTGTTGCATAAAATATTAAATGAATTTTGTGTCTTAAGATAATTAATAAATTCAAGTCAAAGTCAATAAATTCAAGACTCTTGACAAGACGAATAAAATAGCATAGCCTACAATTTTGTGCAGACTACACTTTTATTTGTTAGCCTATGTCTTTTTTTCAGTAGAGGAAATGTAAACGTGAGATTCTGGAAACGAGATCTAAATTTAGCAGGAACAGTCGGGTCGGGAAGAAAATTATTCTAAGCGGACAGCAGGTGAACAAAGAGTGAATATATAGCGGGAGCGGGTGGGTGCGGAATAGAACCTTGCGGGAGCGGGACTAAAAAAATAGTCCCGCGCAGACCTCTACACTATGGCACGCAGTGCGCTCTGGTTAATTGTGTTTCAAATGGAATACTAATATACTACATATTACACACTGTATAATGCATATTATTTAACATCTAATGTAAAACTGAAAATATTATGCAGAAAAAAAATTTCAAATTACATTGTTCAAGCAATATTATTATTGAATATCAATTCAGTAATTGGTGTCTAGTTAATAAAAAAATGCCCTTTTAGTCTAATTTAGTGCTCTTGGCACTCCAGTCAAATAAAACCCAAACTTTTGAACAGTAGTTGAGGTACCGTGCCCTTCAGAACACACTGACTCCTACATTAGTCATGAATAAAGGAACAGAGAGCTGCTTTGTGGGTAAATATATGTGATTGTTGAGTCTGAAATGTTTTCACAGCAATCACACTCTGATTTAGTTTGAAGAGGTGCAAACACGAACATGTCAATCTTATGTTGCATCTCACACTCCTGAGTTTGTATCAAGTCAATATGTGTTGCCGCCTCACTGTAGACTTATGATTCTCTGGACGTGCCTCAACATGCGAGAAGCATCGATTAGTCATCGTATTCCACAGGGCAGTCAGGAGAGGAAGGATCAGAGACTGATTACAAAGACATAATGTCTTGACGCAAATATAAATGTGACTCTGTGTGGTCAGAAGTTTTGTTCCGTAAGCAGATAGCTCTTGCCTTTTTTCCTATTGGTTTTGCAGCTCATTGCTCACGGGTCGTCTGGTCGGCGTTTTATATTTTTGTCAATAAATCAGAGCAAAGCTTTCGGCGTAAAGCATGTTCTCTGAGCCATAGTAAATACATATTTATTTTAAAAAGCCGCAACTGAAATAGTTTGATTTCTTAGCTGGCAGGTCTGCTGCGCTCATGTTTGATTTGTTCTGGGAGAAGGTCACAGCGTTATATATTTACATTGCTCTATTTATTTATCTATCTATCATTCCTTCTATTCTATTCCTAGTTATTAAAAGCAAAGCAGCATTGTTTGTTCATGTACATCAAGGTCGATGGAGCACTTCTGAGAATTGTTTTCTGACGTCAGTTGCATGAAATCTGACACGTTTCCAGTTAAACGAAATATACAAAATAAGAATAAATCAAAATTGTAACCTTTTCTGAAGAAAATGCGAGCGGAGCAAAAGTCACTACCTGTGTATTTTTGTGTGTTCTGTGTATTTTTAACATGTTGATAGGGTGGTTGCTAGGTGATTGCTTCCTGTTTTAAGCCAAAAGAGCCAAGTTTGGGCCAGTTGCATAAACTTAACCTCTATTTTAAGACTATGAACTAACCAGCTAGCAGTTAACCAAGCAGTAATCAGTTTTATTTTTCTGATTCACATTAGACCAACCTATAGCATGTGTATTATTTGTTGTTTTATTTCTATTATTTATTTGATTATTTTTGACATTTTAATTTTACAATGCATAAATTATCACTTACAATGCGCTTATCATCTCACACACCTCTCCTACACAACCTACACAATTTTAGCTATCATTCATATCTGCCAAATACACGTTTAATACTGAAGGTTAGGGGAGGGATATGAAAAATCCATAACCTGTGTATGAACAGCCACCACTAATAAAAACCTGTTTGAGGACAGCGAGAGAATCTGTTTAGTCTGTGCTGTTGCAGCTCTATTGCAAAGTCAAATCTTTAGCCAGGTTAGCATTTCAGTCAGACGCTATCAACCTCTCCTCACATGATCCAGACAGGCTTCTGCAAGAGCTCCATAATCACATCTGCTCTTGCTGCCTTTTTGGAAACGCTTTTTAATGTGTTGATAGCATCTTACATGTGTTGGATAATGATAAGGCCGCAGGTAAGAATTCAAACCACAAGAGCTCCATAATCACATCTGCTCTTGCTGCCTTTTTGGAAACGTTTTTTAATGTGTTGATAGCATCTTACATGTGTTGGATAATGATAAGGCCGCAGGTAAGAATTCAAACCAGCTTCTCTTTTACATCCTCTTCCCTTTCACTTTCTTCTTGGCCTTAATATAGCAGTATTCACTCGTGAATGTGGAGGTTTCATCTTTTAGAATCCCATTAACTGAATGTATCCTGTTGAATACTCTTGACTATTTAATTTGAATGATTTTCTACAGTTTTCAGGCTTTTAAAAAAAATAAACACAAGCATGCCGAGACAAATACGGGTAGTTTTTGTGTTATTCTGTCTGGAATAGGCTGAGTCTGGCTCTTTAAGAATTCCTTTTGGGAAGGCAAGAAGGAAGGAAGGTTGCTGTATCCTTGAAAATTAAAGCTCTGATCCAGTACCTGAGCAGACTTTGTGTGTCAGAGAACTTGTTGGGTTAAAGACCATCTTTGTTTATTCTTTCATCTGTTCCAGTAGACTGTCAGTTTCACCACCCAAATACTTTTACACAGTTCTACAAAAATAGTTTTTTATAATAATATAATAATATAATTTTTTTTTAGATTTTGGATGCTTATATATCTCATACATATCTCCTACTCAAGTCACATAATTTTCACACCCTTATGGAACAAAAATATATGGGAATAAACTTCAAAATATAATGTGATATATAACATAATATATTTTCATATATGGGAAACTAGTGCTTATATTTTTCAATATACTGCAATATGCATTGACCATGTATGGCTATATATTGATACATACAGTAATATTCATTACATGTAATATTCATAAAGTTGTATCCTTTATTGTGCGCATGCATGTTCCCATATAAATGTGACTGTACATACTGTATATACACACATTCACAGAATGAATTACAGCAGATTTCTAGTTACCAGCATGCTTTGCTTCTGGCTGTTAAAGGAGAGTAAATCTTAGTGTTATTTTGTAAGTGTTATTTCATGTGTTTTGCTCAATATTAATATAGGTGGGAGATCTGTTAGTGTTTAAAGTTCTATTATTTTTGGAATTTAAAAGGGTTTCTGGTATGTCTGAGGTTTTGGAGTTACCGTTGTGCTGAAGAATAGAGCCTGTGGGTAGGTTAGATAGAGCCTGTGTTTGCCTAACGCCAATAAGACTATATATTACTTTTGATTACTTTATTTAAAAAGTAATGGCTGTGCACTCTTCATCATGCTGATAGTCTCTTTGCTAGATACTTTAGTACATGCAAGTGTGCTTGTGCTGTTGTTAACTAGCTATATATGACAATATGAAATATATATAATGTACATTATTATAAAATATAAGAAATATATTATATATGTCTATATATGTGTGTATATACTGCATGAGTAAATATGTACAATATATTTATACACATACAGTACCATATCTTATCACATGTAGATCTATATGTTACAAAGTGTATTACTGAATAACAAATTACATATATTATAATATATAATTAAATATATTGACAAAATATGTTTAAATATATAAATATGAAATATATATAATTTAATATTAAATATATTTAAATATATACAATTAAATATATTGTTAAAAAATGTATGAAAGTGGCAATTCCTTATCTATTATTCAATATATTTATATATATTAAAGCAAAATATTATTCTGTATATTTTCAATACACTGTGAAATCGTTTAATATATTGAAGGAAGTATATTTTCTTTGCATAAGGGCTTTTCAGGAAAATACACATTTAATACTGAGGGTTAGGTGTGATAAAAAAAATCCATAACTTGTGTATGAACAACCACCTCTAATAAAAACCTGTTTGAGGAGAGCGAGAGAATCTGTTTTGTTTGTTTGTACACACACACACACACACACACACACGTTGGTGTATGTGGTTTGCGGGCACTCTCCATAGGTGTAATGGTTTTTAAACTGTACAAACTGTATTTTCTATATCATTACCCTAAACCTACTCATCACAGAAAACTTTCTGCATTTTTAGACTTTAAAAAAAAACTGTTTAGTATGTTTTTAAGCCATTTTGTTTAGGAGGACACAGGAAGTGTCCTCATAAACCATGTTCACGTTGTAATACCTATGCCATTATACTCATTTGTGTCTTCGTAAACCATATAAACCTGAACACACACAAACACACACACACACATATACATTACCGTTTAAAAGTTATTTTGTTAAATATTCTTACAGTTTTAAATATTTTATATATATATTAATATATTTTAAAATGTTATTTATTCCTTTTGATGGCAAAGCTGAATTTTCAGCAGCCATTACTCCAGTTTTCAGTGTCACAGGATTCTTCAAAAATCATTCTAATATGCTGATTTGGAGCTAAATTTGGTCAATTTAAATTGAAAAAAAAAAAAAGAAAAGAAAAAAGTGTCAGTTTTGATCAATTTAATTCATCCTTGCTGGATAAAAGTATAAATGATCAAAAGCATACCCTAAACGTTTGAATTTTTATAAAGTTTATTTATTATTGAATAAAAAGCATTGGTATAGCAAGATGTCACTGGTGTTGACATTTAATCCAACAATTTTTATTTACTGTTGCAGGCGGACCATCTCAGAGGATGGCACCCTCAGAATTGCCAATGTTACCAAATCCGACGTAGGGAGGTACACTTGTGTCGCCAAAAACCCCTTTGGTACATCCAGCAGTTCTGGGACTTTAGTGGTCAAAGGTAAAGCACCTTTCACATTTCACAAACAGCACATTTCTCTTGCTTCTAAGCAGATGCCTTAAACCGGATGAGAACCAGTGGAAAAACAGTGAGCAACCCAAGCATGAAATTGATAATGAAATATATAGTTGTTTTATGTTCCTGCCGGTTTGACAGAGGTATAACTCATCCAAGCTTTTGTCATGTGTGAGTTATTGGTCCAGCCGCTGGTGTTAAAACAAAATCCGTAGCCAGCCACAGCATCGGGAACGGACTTGATCCTTTTCACCCCAGTCGCTTTCTGCATGTTTAATTAAAAATATGCTGCTGTTGCAGTTTTTTTTTTCTCTCAATTTACTCTTTTAATAACTTATGGCATTACATATGCATGTTTTTTGGACACTTTGATGGCTTCTCATGAATTAATGCATAACTGAAGATCTTCAACATTTCTGTCTTGGTCCTTTCTTTCCTTTATCTCTCTTTTTTTGACAGAACCAACCAAGATTACAGTCCCTCCTTTGAGTATGGATGCCACAGTGGGGGAGAGCATTGTCTTGCCGTGTGAAGTATCTAAAGACTCCACTCTACACCCCGTCTTCAAGTGGTTCTTCAACGGAAAGCTCATCGATTTCAGTAGACACGATCACTTCGGGATGATTGGAGGGGTGCGTTTCTGTCAGTCATTTTAATTCAAAGCTTCAAATTCTGTATTCCTGAAATACTGTAGCCTTGGATTCCTCTTTGAAATCACTCAGAGTAGAGGAATGCTTTTTTTTTTTTTTTTTTTTTTTTTGCCTAGCTAGTAATGGGGGGAACTTGAGTACAAGGGCACCTGGCCGCTCTCTGAACACAGAGGCACAAATCTGTCTGATTACAGGATTTACATCGCACTCTGTTTAACACACAGTGAACCTCAAATAGCTATCCACAGGACCCAATCTCTCACTGTGTAGATCATCCACAGAGCTTTTAAGTTGCCAAGTATTGCTTTTGAGAACCTGGAGAGACCGATGAGCAAATGCACGAATAGCGGGCTCTCGCTAACAGTAGAAGGACTGCTTGTCAAAGCGAGTTAAAAGAACCCTATCTGAACTGAAGGGCCAATCAAATATCACAGCTTTTTGCTATTGCCATTTGTTTCTTGATATTTTCCAAATGTGATGTAACTACAGAAATGAAAATATACTTGATTTTAGAGACTTTAAGTACCACAGCATTACCATAGAAATATACACTACCGTTCAAATATTTTTTTTTAGTGATGCATTCTATTGATCAAAAGTGACAATTATAATTTTACAAATTTGTTTCAAATAAATGTTCTTTTCAACTTTCTATTCACTAAAGAATCCTGAAAAAAAATATTTATTAAGAAGCACAACCGTTTTCATTGGAAATAATAACAAATGCTTCTTGAGCATTAAATCATATTAGAATGATTTCTCAAGGATCATGTGACACTGAAGACTGGAGAAATGGCTGCTGAAAATTCAGTTTTGCCATCAAAGAATAAATTGCATTTTAAAATATATTTAAATAGAAAATTATTATTTTAAATTGCAATAATATTTCACAATATTACTGGTTTTACTGTATTTTTAATCAAACAAATGCACCCTTGGTGAACATAAGAGACTTGTTTCAAAAACATTTACATAGTAGTGTACCATATAGGCTACTATTTGTAATTGTCTGTTCAATTATTTACTCATTTGCAAAATAATGCTTTTGATAATGTCAGACGCTGTTCCATGTCTCGTGCTGTTTTCCTCCCCCACGTGCTCCAGTATTATTATTATGCCCATATTAAATGCTGTATTTCTGAATTACTGCAGCCTTGGATTCCTCTTTGAAATCACTCGGGGTAGAGGAATGCGAGTGAGGAATGATTTGGAATCTGGTGTTTTAACTTTTTTTTTTAGCTCAGCTAGCAATGGGGGGAACTTGAGTACAAGGGCACCTGGCCGCTCTCTGAACACAGAGGCACAAATCTGTCTGATTACAGGATTTACATCGCACTCTGTTTAACACACAGTGAACCTCAAATAGCTATCCACAGGACCCAATCTCTCACTGTGTAGATCATCCACAGAGCTTTTAAGTTGCCAAGTATTGCTTTTGAGAACCTGGAGAGACCGATGAGCAAATGCACGAATAGCGGGCTCTCGCTAACAGTAGAAGGACTGCTTGTCAAAGCGAGTTAAAAGAACCCTATCTGAACTGAAGGGCCAATCAAATATCACAGCTTTTTGCTATTGCCATTTGTTTCTTGATATTTTCCAAATGTGATGTAACTACAGAAATGAAAATATACTTGATTTTAGAGACTTTAAGTACCACAGCATTACCATAGAAATATACACTACCGTTCAAATATTTTTTTTTAGTGATGCATTCTATTGATCAAAAGTGACAATTATAATTTTACAAATTTGTTTCAAATAAATGTTCTTTTCAACTTTCTATTCACTAAAGAATCCTGAAAAAAAATATTTATTAAGAAGCACAACCGTTTTCATTGGAAATAATAACAAATGCTTCTTGAGCATTAAATCATATTAGAATGATTTCTCAAGGATCATGTGACACTGAAGACTGGAGAAATGGCTGCTGAAAATTCAGTTTTGCCATCAAAGAATAAATTGCATTTTAAAATATATTTAAATAGAAAATTATTATTTTAAATTGCAATAATATTTCACAATATTACTGGTTTTACTGTATTTTTAATCAAACAAATGCACCCTTGGTGAACATAAGAGACTTGTTTCAAAAACATTTACATAGTAGTGTACCATATAGGCTACTATTTGTAATTGTCTGTTCAATTATTTACTCATTTGCAAAATAATGCTTTTGATAATGTCAGACGCTGTTCCATGTCTCGTGCTGTTTTCCTCCCCCACGTGCTCCAGTATTATTATTATGCCCATATTTGTTTTTTCCTGTTCCTGTCCGTATTTAGTTCTATTGGTTCCAGCTGGGTTTAATTAGTTACTGTGTATTTAAAGTGTGTACTGCCCCTCATTTCCCATCCGCTGTTAAATGTCATTTTGTGTTCTGTGTTTCCCGTGTTCCTGTGTTCCCAGCTTTGTTTTCATTAAAGACATTGGAATTTACTTTACTCCTCGTCTCCTCGCTCCTTCATTCCCGTGCTCCCAGTGTGAATCGTGACAGATAATGTTAATTTGGTATAATTTCTTTCAAATATACCACAGTAATTATATGGTTTATTTTGAAGTAGTAAACAATAGCATTGACATTCCATAATATATGAATGTAATAATCATATGGATGGATTGATAGACTTCTTTCTCCACTTATTTTTTTTACATAATACTCTTTTTTTTTTTTTTATAGGGCTCTTCTGGGGATCTTATGATCAGGAACGTGCAGCTGAAACACTCTGGGAAGTACGTCTGCATGGTGCATACCGCAGTGGACAGTGTGTCTGCAGCGGCAGACTTAATTGTCAGAGGTATGTGCATCTCCCCCCATGGAGACTGCTCAGTATTCTACACTTTTCGGAGCTTTTATCAAATATAAATTAAAAAGGCCTCACAATTTGCCCCGCTATTTCTATTTTATTCTGTTATTCAGCTCTTGAAGTAATGACTACAGGGGTATCTGAAATCAATGCATTAATTCCCTGCTTCATGCTCTTTAGAACCTTTTGTATTTCCATCATCAAGTGAAGGATTTCTCTCCCTGGTTCTGAATATTAAGCATGTCACCTTTTGTGGGCAGACTTGGTAACCTTGCTGTGCCCTTCTCTGATGAGGATACGCAGCAAGTTTGAGTCCTTTTTGTCTCTGGTGGTGGTGTTGTCAGGGCCCCCTGGTGCTCCAGTGGGTGTGTTGGTGGGGGACATCACAGACAGGATTGCTCAGCTCTCGTGGGGCCCCGGACCTGACAACCACAGTCCCGTTACCCTCTACAGGGCCCCCTGGTGCTCCGGTGGATGTGTTGGTGGGGGACGTCACAGACAGGACTGCTCAGCTCTCGTGGGGCCCCGGACCTGACAACCACAGTCCTGTTACCCTCTACATCGTGCAAGCCAGGACCCCTTTCTCTATCGGCTGGCAGGCAGTCAAAACTGGTATAGGACTCTGTGTACTTTCTTGTCGAGTCTGGTTTTATTTTAGAAAACCAGTTATTTTTATTGTGATTGAACCACCCCTTACAAATTAAATGTAGTTTTTTGGAAATATCAAGTCATATTATAATATTATGTTTAAGTCATATTATAATTTACAGTAGAAAAAAAAAACATAAATTGACATTCCCAGAATTTTCACTTCACATTTGTAAATTTGTAAATTAAATGTAAATTTAAATGCATAAAAACACACTGCTCAGTTTAAATATGTAGTAAAATCTGTGCCGTTAAATGTTATCACTGTACCGCCGTGATGTTATGAAAAGCATTTTGTTTTACATGGATATTGGAATGCGAGTGAAGTAGGCTACATAGTAAATAATAATTTGCCATTCAAATACATCGCGAATACGGAAACAT